AGATGCTGAACAACAGCTCAACCTGGAGCTGGGTTGCCGTGAGTCGCCAGCGATGGCGTAGGCTGCAGCCCCTTCTGCAGTGAGCTGCCATGGGCTACCATGTGTAGCCAGCAGCCAGCGTGAGCGGCCAGCAGCCGCAGTGAGCGGCCGTCCAGAAGCCAGCGACTGATCTGCCTTGCCCGGGAAGAGCGCAATGATGGTGCCAACTTGGGCCAGTGAAGCAACGTCCTCCAACTAGACTGAAGAACAAAAAGGACAGCAACTTGTCTGTTCCCCTTCCCCCAATTCCCCAGCGCTGTTCCCATCCCCCAATTCCCCAATAAAAATCTTAAAATAAAGAAGAATGACAGAGGGTCAAATTTTGGGGTGATTTGGAAGGTAGATTAATTGGGTCATCCAAGAGATTCTTCTTGCTGGTGACAAGTTTGCATTGAGTTTGAACTGGTCAAAACAGGAAATGTTTGGCCTCATGACTCATTACTTTGTGACCTATTATCTTTGTATTTGGTTCAAGAGAAAAGTTGCTTTATCTAATTTCAAGCTCAAGTGACAAGAAGACATGAACATAGTAATATTTCCCCTGTGTTTGGATGGGGTTGTCTAAAGACAAGGGAGTAGGAAAAGGCACCTGTCTAGTTTGAGATAATATTTATAAGAAGGGCATTGTAAAGCTATAAACAATGTGAAGTATTATTTTTTAGAATAAGATAATACAACTGGAAGGAACCCTAGTAACATTTAACTCCTTCATCTTACAGAAACCAGGTCTACCAGAGTCAAGTGTATTTATTACCTAAGAACACATGCCAGTAGTGATGTAGAGCATGGATTCTAGAGTTAGACATGCCTGGTTTGAGGCCCAGCTCTCCCACTTTTATCTGTGGGCCAAGAAAGACCTCACAGAGGTGAAGATCTGAGTCATACAGAGTGAGTAGAGTTTGCCAGACAGTGTAAGGGTTCAGAACAGGCCTTGCCAAAATGTGTCACTTTGGCATGTGAACTATTTTGAGCAAATGTCATAGGCTCACAAGAAACTTCGACCTCTCCCTTAAAGAATTTAAATTAGGGGCCTTGCCCATAATAAGAGTGTCACCAGAAATAACTCTTTATGACTATTTGTTATTTCACCAGAAATAACTTTTTATGACTATTTGCAATCTTCTAATTTCTAAACATCTGCTCCTCTTATCATTCTGCAATGACACTTTGAAGCCGCCAAGGCACCATACCTTACCTTTAACTTAGAATTCCATATATATCTCATTTTAACTTTCTGTCCCTAAACCTCTCATGTATGTGGGGTCTCTGACTCGCTCATGTATGCAGGATTTCCATACATATGCATGTAATTAAATGTGGTCATTTTCTCTTGCTAATCTGTCTTATGTCTATTTGATTATTAGACCAACTGAAAGGTATGTACAAAGAGAGACAGACATGAGGAGAGAGAGATGCATGGAGCAGTGGATGCAGGTGAATATAGCTGGAGCATACACATAGTGTTATGGGGGAGAGAAGTAAAGATGGGGTTGTTGGAGGGGGGCTCGGGGGCGGGCAAGGAGGAGTTACTGTGCCTCTGAGAGGGGAAACTTCTGCCAGATTTGTTTTCTTGCTATTTCACTGTTACTTTATATCAATAATATACCCAAAGAAAGTTGTATTGCTACAAATTTTAGGGACTGTGTCTTTATCCATAGGGTATTCTTCCATTCTTTGTAGTCCAGGAAGGAAGACTAGGCAGGGCCTGGGGCATTGCTTGGTCCCTTAGTGCCCCTCTCACGTCCCCTGTGAGCTGAGTTCTCTTTAGCCCAATGCCCAGCAAGGCTCTCTTGGGTGAAAAAAGCTCTGGGTATGTTTAGAAAACAATAATAGCTACTATTGCTATGTACCTGGCATTATTATAACTGTTGAGTGTGTTGATTCATTTAATCTTCACAAAAACCTTATGAAGTGAACATCACTATTTTTTCTTTGCTCAACTTTTCAAAAGTTTTTTTTTATAGAAGTATAGCATACATATAAAAGCTGTATGTAAGTGTACAGTTTAATGAATTTTCACAAAAAGAGCTACACATGTAACTAGCACCCAGGGAGAATTACCAGCAACCAAACGGCTCCTTGGGGCCCCTTGGGGCCCCATCGAGTCGCTAGTGCTCCCCACCCCCCAAAACAACTACCACTTTTACTTCTGACAACAGAGCTTAGTTTGCTTGTTTTGTAAAGTATTATCTGTATGCAGCTTCTTTCAGTTACTGTATTTCCCCATGTATAAGATGCGCCCTTTTTCGAAAAATTTGGGGTCAAAAACTGGGTGTGTCTTATACAGTAGTTGTAGATCATTGTCAAGTCATTTAAGAAGTGTGGCATTTCAAATGCCATAGATGGAACTGAGGACAAGGCAATATAAGAAGACAGTGATTCGTCGTCAGACACAGATGGGGACAAGCTGATGGTTGGGGGTTTTGACAGTGATGAGGAGTTGTATGAATTTTATGATGAATAAAACTTGAGTTCAATAACTTTACGTAATACGTTTTTTTTCAAATTTCGGGCCCCCAAATTAAGGTGAGTCTTATATATGGGAGCGTCTTATACATGGGGAAATATGTACATTACATTGCATATAGTTAGTTAAAGGTGTGTTCATCCTCTCTCATTGCTATATAATATCCTCACTTTTTATTTTGAAAGATTTTAAGCCCTCCCAAAGTTGAAGAATTTTTACAGTGAACACCCATATACCCTTTACCTGGAACATGAAGGAATATTATTTCCATTTTATAGATGCGGGAACTAAGGCAAAGAGAAATTAGGTAACTAGCCCAGATCATGTCCCTGGGATCTAATTTTGCCTAGCTTGTGGCTTAATCAGTCATAACACTGTGGAAAAATCCCATAACTTCTTTGGAGCTATTTCTTCATTATTAAAATGGGAGTAATAATCCCCATTCCATTGACTTTCCAGGCTATTGTGAGGCTCAAATCTGAGGAACATGTGAAAGTGCTTTATGAAGAGTAAAAAGCTGTGGTACTCAAAAGGGGTATTGTTTAAAATGTATGTTCCTGGGCCTCTCTCAATGTAGATCCTGATGTAGTTAAGTCTGGGGGTAAGAAGCAGAATATTTAACAAGCATGCTAGGTGAATCTGATGCACTAGTTCCCCTACCAAACCATGAAAAAACACTTCGGTAAAACAGTGGTTCTCTAGAGTCTATCAGAATCACCTGGAGGACTTTGGGTATGACTTTTGCCATCAGCTCCACTTACTCAGACTAACCAAGATGAGAGAGAATTTCAAGTGCAGAATTTGGCATGCTTTATACTCTGTGAGCTGGGAGAATTCGTCCCCAAGATTAGTCCCTAGAGCCGTTTCCTTCACAGAGGTAACAGAAAAACAAAAGGAAGTTTGCTCATCCCTAAAGAGGACAAGTGACTCACAGGTTTAAACCGAAAAGGGAAACATGGGGACAGTTATAGGTGAAAGGGAAGAGGTTTCTGTTGCAAAATAAGAGGTCAAATTAAAGAGAAGTAAAAAAAAACTACCATCATTACTCAAAATTCTGTACATTCCTGTTTCAGGGATAAATTAAGGAACCATAGGCACACCAAACCTCTGCTTAGAGCACCAAAAAGAAAAGAAGAAAGTAATACTTTGATTGCTTAAAGCATTGAACATGGGATGGGGGCGGGGTGGGGTGGGGTGGGGGAAGGGCCAGAACTTTTTTGGACTTTCTAACATTTATTTTATGGTTTAGTATTTTATTTTGAGTTACTTGGGGAGTGGTTAGAAATGCCATAATTATTTTTCCTTACTGAGGACCTGTAGATGTATTCAGTGGTGTATTAGAGATTCATTTTTAATCGGTCAGTTTGGAGCTTTAAATATGATAAACAGTACCTATGTCCTTGCAACATTACTGAAGTAATCGAGGGGAAGGTCTTTGAGGGCTTTCTACAATTCAAACTCCGTAGCTTGACAAACACAGCCGGTCGCCCAGCTCTAGCGCCATCGCCGTCTCCCCTCGCTCTGCTTTTTGGAGCCCAGGGACCTGGCTGGCGGCTGTTCCAGGCACTAGCTCTCCTTCCCACCTCCCAACTGTCCTGTCTAGTTTACCATCCCCGGGAGAGAGAGCGATCCGGGAGGCCGCAGCCCGTGGCTACGCCACCTGGAGATTCCCCGCCACTCCCTCGGGGAGAGGTCCACCGAACACCTACCCCGCTCGGGGCGTTTGCACAACATAGTTGCTCAGATAATGAGGTTCAAGTCCCGGAATTTTACACAAGAAAAACTGGGACTCAGATGTTGATGATTTAAGTTTCTTCTTTAAAAATAAAAGGCATAACCCACAACTTAAAAAAAAAAAAAGGCCACCTTGCAAAATAAGCATAGGCAGCTGTCAGTCAGCCCGCAGTGATTCGGGTTTAAGTTTTTCTGAGAAAAAAATGAAGGGGACCAACTAATGGTATTCAAAGCCCTTTTGGTAAATTCTGATTGAACTTTGAATTAGAAATATGTATGAGGAACTGACTTTAAGTCAAAAGAGCAGTGTAACAAATCTCTATAGGTCCGTCATCGGGTTAGAATTTTACAAAACTTTAAAAATTATTTGTTTGCTAAATATAAGTCCAGAACCTGTTTCCATTTTTAAAAACAGTTCAATTTTGAGGACTGATGGTTAATCAGGTTACTGTTAATTTGTCCGTGCGACTCCTTCAATGCCTTTGGCAAAAGCCCCAGAGCTGACCCGGGCGCCAGCCACACTTTTGCCACGGGCCTTCCAGGACCCGGAACTCAGGCAGAGCCCCCCACCCAGGAAGGACACCCCTTCACCCAGACTAGGGGCCCCACTCCGGGCGGCGGGGCCGCAGTCGGGGGAGAGCAGTGTGGGGGAGGCGCCGACATGCGGCGGACGGCGATACTCGGGACTGGCAGCTGGGCGTTCCGGGTCCCGAGCTCCTGGTCACATGGTGCGGGGGTGGAGTGGGGGGCGGAGCGGGACGGGATATATAGCCTGGTAGCCTGTGGGCCTCGCTTTAAACATCGTTGGTGTTGCTGGAGCTGAGCTTGCTGGGCTCGTCGGATTCTCGTCTCCTCCGTACTGTCTGTCGGTGGGTGCGCGCCCCCTCTGTTACCTGCAAGCTGGCCTGGGTCCCCCGCGGGGCTCTAGGCTGGACGGGGTCGGATTTTGACCCGTGGGGCCTGCCCGCCCCTAGGCCCCATCTGGGAAGGGGCGGTCTACTGGGCCTGCGCTTTCGACCTTTGCTTTTGTTCCTTGAGCCTTGTCTGCCAGCTGCTCCAGTACCTTTGTAGTTTCTTGGCTTGGTTGCTGGGTAACATTTTCCATTTGCCCCGAAAGGACATTATTTTAAAGGAAATGCGTTAGAATGGTCTTAAAGCAGAATTTTATGGGGTACGCAGTGACAGTGGGGCAGCCGCTGCTGGCCCTTGACTTCCGCCCACAGCGCAGTTCTTATCTCTTGTAGAACTGGGACCCTTGGTGGCCACAGGGGGGAACTGATTGGCCCGGACGTAGCGGGCAGCGGGATGTGCTGGTTCTTATAACTTCCCAGCATCGCTGTTTAGCAGTGAGGCAGTTTAGCGTGTATGTGGGTCTTTGGGGACGGTAAATTTACATTTAAAAGTGTTCTGAAATGTTTCTCGATCCCTCCGAGCACTTCCTTCCTCGGAGAACTTCATTCCTCCTGTGCTTAGTCACCACTAAATTGGTTTCACTCTTTTGAGAAGGAAGGCAGTAATTCCCCCAAAGTGCTCCAACCTGATAGTCCTGACTCGCCAAGATGTCTTCTGCTTGAAATCTCTTTAGTTTTAACATGGATTTCAACTTGTTTAGCATTTTTGTGAACAGATATTCCCCTTCAAAAGGCATCCCTAGTTTCCTAATGGAGAAACATGACAAATGTATCAACAACTTTGCTTTTCTCTTTTATATTGGGAATGTACACAGGAGCTCTGAAACCTTGCCTCAGAAGGTGTTTGCTCAAGGGAGAGTGTTCAGAGCTGGAGGGTGGGAAGAAGTGCAGAAGAAGACACCTCATTTTAATTTTTTTCTCTAGAAATTTGCTTGGGTTGGGAGATGAATCTGGAAGCATCTTATCCCAATGTCCTGAAATAAGTTTCTCTTCCGCAGATTCCTTCTTTCTCCAGGAAGAAAAATGGCACCTGTTGCTGTTGATTCACAACCGGTATGAATTTTAAATTGCGATTTCTTCATTCCTTTCCCTCCCCATGTGTTGAGAAGTTAACCCTCCCCCCTCCTTGGTTGCAGAGCGTGGTGACGAGGGTGGCCAACTTACCCTTGGTGAGCTCCACATATGACCTGGTCTCCTCGGCTTACTTCAGTACAAAGGATCAGTATCCCTACTTGAAGTCTGTGTGTGAGATGGCGGAGAAGGGTGTGAAGACCATAACCTCGGTGGCTGTGATGAGCGCTCTGCCCATCATCCAGAAGCTAGAGCCACAAAGTGAGTTCTGATTTCCCCCTCAAGGTTTAGTCCAATGGACCTGTCAGGAATGAGCCTGACACTGGTTTGAAGAGTATGAATGCTGCCAATGCAATGCCCTGAGCACACAGCGGCAACTTCAGGGAATCCTTAACCTTTCCTAAGGTACATACTTGTCTTCGTCTAGAAACTGCCAGGTGACCATCATTGTTACAGAAGGTCTGCTTCATAGCAATGGCAGATGTTCATGATACTTTTTAAAAATTTCCCAAAGGTGCTTCTATGTTGGCATCTGAGATCACAAGGGGGAGACAGTAGGTAAACTGACATAATTGACTGTCTTGGGCCCAGGCAATAGACACCGGATTGCTTAAAAAAAGAAAAAAGAAAAAAAAAAGAAAAAGAAAAAGAAATATTGAGCTATAATTAACATATCATACAATTCACCCACTTAAGATGTACTATTCAGTGGTATTTTAGTATGTTCAGAGAGTCATGTGGCATCACCACATTCAGTTTTAGAACATTTTTATCACTCCGGAAAGGAACCTCATCCCAGTTTCTGTTGGGATGGTGAAAAAGTTCTGAAAATGATAGGGGTGATAGTTGTACAACATTAATGTCACTGAATTGTACACTTAAATAATTAAAACCGTGATACTTATGTATATTTTATCACCATTTTTTAAAAACAAGAAAGAAAACATACCCATTAGCAGTCACTCTCCTTTTCTTTCCCCTGTCCCTCCAACTACTAATCTACTTTTCTTAAAGATTTTATTGAGGAATTGGGGGAGGGGAACAGCGCTGGGAAATTGGGGAAGGGGAACAGACAAGTTCCTATTTTGTTCTTCAGTCTAATTGTGGAGGACGTTGCTTCACTGCCCCATGTTGGTATTATCATTACGCTCTTCCTGGGTGAGGTAGATCGGTCGCTGGCCACTGGATGGACGCTCACAGTGGCTCTTGGCAACTCACACCAGCTGCTGGCCGCTCGCGCTGGTTGCCGGCCACACGCTAGCTTATGGCAGCCCACTGCAGCAGGGACTGAAGCCTACACCATCGCCAGTGACTCATGGCAGCCCAGCTCCAGGTAGAACTGTTGTTCACCATCTTAGCTGTAGAGGGCAGTGTCACTGGCCTTCATGTGGGGTCCGAACCAGGGCCCTGCAGCTCAGAGCTGGAGTCCCAAGCCAGCTCTTAACCAACGCGCTACTCGGCCGGCCCTGTATGTGTTGTCTTGATAGATTTGCCTGTTCTGGACATTTCACATAAATGGAATCATAAAATATGTGTTCTTTCGTGACTGGCTTCTTTCACTTAGCATAATGTTTTCAAGGTTCATGTTGTTGCATGACATCAGTACTTCATTCCTTTTTATTGTGGAATAATACTCCATTGTGCGAATAGATCATATTTTATTCATTCATCAGTTGATAGACATTTGGATGCTTTTACTTCCCCCGCCGATATGAATAATGAATGCTACTGTGAATATTTGTGTACAAGTTTTTGTGTGGGCATATGTTCTCAGTTCTTTTGGGTATATACCTAGGTGTGGAATTGCTGGGTCATATAACTTTTAAGCTTTAGAGGAACTGCCAGACTGTTTTCCAAAGTGGCTTTCATTTTACGTTCCCACTGGCAGTATATGAACTTTCTTCACATTATGAACCCTTTTGAATAAAGGTTTAAATCATTTCCCTTAATGAATAAATCATGGACTTTTTGGAGGATAAGAAACCTTTACATAAGAGCTTTTCATCTCTGCTACTTCCCAAATGAATTTGGGACTAGTGCTTGGCTTGGTCATCCTGAGGAGGAAGCTTGGACTAAAATGAAGGCCATGTTAGGGAAATCCAGTGTGCTGTTGCTGTTGGCATACCGTTTCCTGGTGATAATGCAAAATCCATTGCCACTTATTGAATTAAGTGTAGGTAGGGGTTAAACTAACATGAAAATGCTAATTTTGAGAGTTCTTAGGTACCTTATTCCCTGAATGAGGGTTCAGGTAAAGCTTGGCTTCTTTTGGCATTAGCCTTAGGGGCCAGTTGATGAGGAAGAATCTTCTCAGCCAGCTTCCTACCTGGCTTGTCACTCCCTTCTGCCTGCTGCTCCCTCCACCCCCATATTTCCCTGTCAGTAGAAGAAAGTTGCCAGCATCCTGCCAACCCTCTTTCTGTCTGAACTAGGGACTAGGCAATACATTGTGAAGATCAACGTTCTTGCTGTTTTTCATAACACTAAACATTTACAGTATCATAATAGGTATTCATTCTATGTCTATGCTGTTAACATTTTCTCTATTTGTAATTCTTTTAGTTGCTGTTGCCAACACTTATGCCTGCATGGGACTAGACAGGATTGAGGAGAAAATGCCTATTCTGAATCAGCCAACAAACCAGGTGAGTTTGGGCCAAGAGTGCTGAGGTTTTCTGTCTCACATATTTTCCTGTCCTATCTGTTTAGCACAGGTGGTGCATGCCATAAGCAGGAAATACTTAATTATTCCTTCAGCCTGGATGTATTTTTGAAAGAGTAATGGCTACCCCTTTACTTCTTGAGTTGTCAGATTATGTCTAAGAAGCAGAGATGAACTAGCCACCTTTGGACCAGAGTACTTTTAGTCTGATCTCTTATCAGTTTGTGGCTTTGCTTCTGCAGAAGAAATTTCTCTCTTAAATAACTGATTTCCATGTGGTACTGGATAAATGCAGAGGTGGTATATAGAACCTTCTCTTACTTGGTATCTGAGAGCACATCCAGTACGATGGAGAATAGGCATCTCTGCCTATATGTTGGCCTTCTGGGGCTGTGTGTATGGGGCCAGGTGTGTATGGTACCTATGTCTGTGCTCATAGGCATTCATGAGCTGCTTTCAGCATAAGCATGTCAGCATGGAAAATGCCACTCTTCTCTGGAGCACCCCTTGTACCTTTCCACAGGTTCATCTAGTTTTATAAAAATAACACCTTGATAAATCCTATATCTGTTTATCTCATCTGCTCCTCCAACAACCCTTGAGTGGTGGCAGGTAGGGCAAATATACCTGATAAGGAAATTAAGGCTCATCAACTCTTAGTAACTCACCTAAGACCTAAAGCTAGGCAGTGAAAGGGTCAGATTCCTTCTTTTTTTAAAAACAAACAAACAAACAAACAAACTTTATTGGGAAACAGTGTGTTTTTTTCAGGACCCATAAGCTCCAAGTCAAGTTGTTTTCAATCTAGTTGTAGAAAGCACAGCTCACTGACCTATGTGGAAATCAAACTGGCAACCCAGGTGTTATCAGCATGAACTCTAACCACCTGAGCTAACCGGTTGCCCCCAGATTCCTTCTTTAACTCTTCAGCTATGCTGCCTTAGTTAAGGCCTTAAATATATATTTATGCTGGTGTTACTCGCCAGCCAAGTGATCTGCTTTTCTATTTGTAGGTTGTCGCCAATGCCAAAGGTGCTGTGACTGGGGCAAAGGATGCTGTGACGACAACTGTGACTGGGGCCAAGGATTCCGTGGCCAGCACGATCACTGGGGTGATGGATAAGACCAAAGGAGCAGTGACTGGCAGTGTGGAGAAGACCAAGTCTGTGGTCAATGGTAGCATTAATACAGTTATGGGGAGTCGGATGGTGCAGCTGATGAGCAATGGAGTAGAAAATGCGCTCACCACATCAGAGCTGCTAGTAGACCAGTATCTCCCTCTCACTGAGGAAGAACTAGGTAAGTGGATTTTTGTCTTGAAATAATGTTTTACATCTTAAGGCAATCTTTCAAAACAGCTTCACTGAGTATATTTGATACTTTATATACCAAAAAAATTTACCTTTTTCATTCCAAATTTACAGTTGCGCAACCATCATCTCAATCCAGCTTTAGAGCATTACTCTTGCCCTGAAAGATCTTTCAGGCCTATATGCAGTCTCCACTATCTAAAAGATTAGACAGCCACTAATATTTTGTCTCTATAGATTTTCTTAAAGCAATCTTAAGCTTCACATTGAATTACACATAGTAAGTTTTGAAATTTTAGGAGAATTTTAGAGAAACATTTTTTACAAATGGATTGTCTTGAATGGGCTGCTTTATAGAATCATTAAATATTTAGTGGCTACTCTATGCCAGGTACTGTGTGGCCCAAGAAGCTCATTTTAGCGGGAAAAGACGTGTAGATGAACATGTCAGATGCAGTGGTATGTGCTGGGTAGTCAAGCTTAGCAGCAGACATGAACTGTCTCAGGAAAATGAGTGTATAATTGCTAGGTGGGTGGGTAGAATTGACAAAATCAAGATCCACGTTAGATTTCAGGCCTTGTCACTTACCGCTATGATCCCTTATGGTTTTTGTCCTTTCTTTCTTCAGAAAAAGAAGCAAAAAAAGTTGAAGGATTTGATGCTGTTCAAAAGCCAAGTTATTACGTTAGGCTGGGATCTCTGTCTACCAAGCTCCGCTCACGTGCCTACCAGCAGGCTCTTGGCAGGGTGAAAGAAGCCAAGCAAAAAAGCCAAGAGACCATTTCTCAGCTCCATTCTACAGTTAACCTGGTGAGGAAAAAAGTTCATTTATCTAGAGCAGGGGTTGGCAAACTTTTGAGACAGAAGAGTCAGTCCTGTCCCTCACAACAATTTGAAAATTATTCGAGAGCCATAAAACAAGTGAAATCACCATTATGTGAATAATATCCTTTAAACATTTTATAAATGAAGCTATGATAGTTTTTTATTTTCATTTTCAATTATACTTCAGAGCCACATGTACGTACCCAAAGAGCCGCATGTGGCTTGCTAGCCGCAGTTTGCCCACCCCTGATCTAGGGGGATGAACATAAATGTAATTATGAAATCCAAGAATTTTACCTTATGAACAACCCGCTAGTAAAATGGGTAAACAGTATACAGCCAGCTCACAGAAAAGGAAATCTCTGAAATATATGAAGTGATGTTAATCTTACTCTGAGAGGTCAAATTACAGATGGCTCTCTTGTCCTGTCACACTGGCAAAGTGTGATACTCTGGCAATGGTGTAGAGAAAGAGGTTACTTGTGGATTTCTGGAGGATTCAAGGGCTAGTTCTAGGAAAGTTATAAAAACACCTATGCCTCCAGCAGCTTTACTTTTAGAAATTTATCCTACAGACATGTATATTTAGAGTTGCAAAAGACTATAAACAATGCATGTCAACTAGTAAGGAACTAATTAAATTGATACCTCACAAAAGACTACTGTGTAGCCATTAAAGATTGCCAAGTTATAGAACAGTATGTATTGTACGGCCATTAGAAGCCGGTGTATTCTGGGAAGGGGAAATAAGTGGCTGGCAACAAGGAAGAGGAAGTTTGAATTCCTTTCTCTTTTGTAATTTGTTTTTCTGTTTCACACGTATACATTAAATTTCAGTTGCCTTCGCTGTGCTAAACTGGAGGTAAATTTAGAGCAGTGTTTTAAGAGTGAGAGGCATTGAAGAACTACAACTATTGTAGATGATAATAAATAACAATGATAACAGGGATCGCTCTCCTTAAACTCTCAGTTATGTGATTTACATCATAGATCTGAAAATAGGCTAACATGAACTTATTTCTTTGTTCTATTTCAATGTGTTCTAGATTGAATTTGCCAGGGAGAATGTGCATAGTGCCAACCAGAAAATTCAGGGTGCTCAGGATAGGCTGTATGTCTCCTGGGTGGAGTGGAAGAGAAGCATCGGCTATGATGACACTGATGAATCTCACTGTACTGAGGTAAGACACGTGGGGCAGAGTCACCCACTACACGTGGGTGAAGAAGTTTCACCAGATTTTGCATTTCAGTCTTGCCGTTGCTCCTCTTAGAATACTCTTCTCTAGCAAAAGTTTGACTAATACTCTGTACATAGGTTGCTTGTTATGGGACAAAAAAGCAAAACTGTACAGTAACTTCTATCTTTCAATCTACAGACATGCATATTGCCCCTAACAGGATACAACTAAAGGAGAAACCTGGGCCTCGCCCTCAGAGTGGGTACAGACTAACAGGAGATAGTATAGGCATTTTTACTGTCATAGTGTTTTTTGACAGGATAAAAACGGGGGGTATGATACTATATAGGGCAGGTACCTAACTTGGTCTTGGAGTGAGGATGGGTGAGTCAGATGACTTCCTGGAAGAGGTGAGTGCTAAGCTGAGACCAGTGGGAGCATAAACTAGGTGAAAGGGCAGTAAGGACACTGATGTTCCAGATAGAAGAAATATTGCATGTTCTAGACATAGAAAAGTGGTTCTTTGGGTTCTAAAAGCTAATATGTGTATCTATGAAATGTGAGTAATACTGCTGCACTCAGGGTTGTTATGAGGAGTTTTCAAAAGTCGAAGAAACCACATACATGATGGACACATAACCAGTTTCCTGTAATAGAAATAATTATAATTACTACATAGTATTGTTGGATCCGCTGCTAATTTTAAACTTTTTATTTTTAGCACATCGAGTCACGCACTCTTGCTATTGCCCGCAACCTGACTCAGCAGCTCCAGACCACGTGCCACACTCTCCTGTCCAACGTCCAAGGGTTACCGCAGAACATCCAAGATCAGGCCAGTCACTTGGGCGTGATGGCTGGAGACATCTACTCAGTGTTCCGCAATGCCGCCTCCTTTAAGGAAGTGTCGGATGGCTTCCTCACTTCCAGCAAGGGGCAGCTGCAGAAAATGAAGGCATCTTTAGATGATGTGATGGATTATCTTGTTAACAACACACCCCTCAACTGGCTGGTAGGTCCCTTTTATCCTCCACTGAGTGAGTCTCAGAATACTCAGGACCAAGGGGCAGAGAAGGACACAACCAGCCAGGAGGCCCCGCAAGCTGAGAACAAACATTAAACCTGTCTCTTGTCACCAGTGCACGTGCAGCCAGCCAGCTAACACCTTCTGTTACATTGAAATTAACCCGCTAGACAACTCTGAATTGGAGAAGCAGCTAGCTAGAAAAGAGGTCCTTAATAGTAGTCATTTCCACCTGGATTATGAGCTTTAAAGTTTTTGGCATTAGCAGATGAGTGAGTACTATTGTTTACCTGGCTGGTAAGAAAATGATAGACTGGTCAGAGCCTAACCAGAATTGACAAAAAGTTCCAGTGCCTTTATGGTCTCATTCTCTTGCCGCTGTTGCTGTCTGTCTGTATTGAATAAAAACACCTTCGTGTGAGCTATGTATGGTATGAACTGGTGTCTGCTCCGATTTGGTCTGAGCAGGCATCGTCACAGGTTTGTCTCACAATGCATGCTTGTACAACTTTAGTTTTTTTTATTTTTCATAAAGGAATGCCGCATATGAATTCAATAAAATTTACTGCAGACTAGATCAGTTTTATGCTGTGTGTTCCATGTGCTTTGTGCGTTGCTTTCATAGAGCTGCTTGGCTTATATGACAGGGTTATTAATACACATACATGGATTCCAATTGGCCTGTTAAGAAATTTTGCAGGGTAATAACACTGGAGGACTAAACAAGTTAAAAGTTAATGTGTATATAAGAAGACAGATTTGCCTTCATTTGCCCATTCACCAGACCCCTGAGAGTGGACCTTCTCATGGCTGATGGCCTTGCTGAAAAGGAATCAAAGCTGAAAGGACACAAAAGAGTGACTATTAGCATCAGTCTCATGTAAAGGCAGTAGGCATTTCTTGCCAATGGGCCATTGAAACTGTGAACCCTGGAATGAGATTGTTCAGTGTCCGGTCTCAAATGGACTTAACTTACTGTGTTGTCACTTTGGGAGAAAGTCACTAATACTGGCTGGTGAGATATCTTTAGAAGACCATATGAGAATAATTAGAAGTAAAAAGACTTTGCATCCTCTGTAGAAAAGAGTTCTTCTTACCTCCTGCCTCAGGTGTTCAGACTTTCAGTCCCCTCAATGTTGCTCACTTAGGAGATATCATGAGCCTCCTAACAAAGCTGCAGGATGCCAAACTGTTTCAGGAAAAAAAAATCTTAGACAGTAGCTCTATTTCATAAATTCTATCTCTACTAAAAGGTTAGCATGGTTGCCCTTCAGAAACAAAGTCTAAATCTAATTTGTTTCTTTCTACCCTGGTTCACCTCTTTCCATGAAAACAAGGAAGAAGTACATAACTTTATATGCACCTTTGGTATGAATGAGTTTATCGAAACTGAGTTATAGAACTAATTTTTTTCCCCTTGAACTAACTCCAGGAATCAGTAAGCAGGTGAGTTGAAACAGAGGGTAGGGACTCACTGAGATGCTTGAAGTTAAGGAGCTTCTGGTTTCTGAGAAGATGGACTGTCACAATTTCTAGGCTTCAGGAATGGAGCCTATCCCTTCACTTGCCTGCCTGCCCCCAGTGACTGTCATTTTCTAGAGCTGCTGCATTTAAGAAATTTTTTACTTCTCAGTCCAAATTGGACATGACCCTGCTCCTCTTTGCCTCAAAACTCCAAGGTTGGTATTTTGTGGTTTATTCTAATTGAAAAATTCATATAGCATAACTACACATGCTTTCTTATTCTGAACATAAACTTCTGCGTTTCCCCTTCGTAAGTTATAATGCCAACTGAATTGCTTATGGAAAGGAGACATGTTTCAAAGCTATTCTTTATGAGCAAGACAGAATATAAAGACCTTTCTCAGCATCTAGAACCTCACCCTAGCCGTTGCTTTTTGCCATGAGCTATGCACATTGGTGATGATTTGTCTGTCTTTGTGTCTCTAGTTTGACTGCCTAAATGCATTTTGTTCTATTGTCAACATGTCTTAAAATTCATGGTATTCTTTAATCTTAAATTTTATTGTTGTATAAATGGCAGTTTTGGTTTAACAGACTTTTTCCCATGAGGACAATTCTTTTGAGGAAAAAAGCTAAGCCTGGACGGTATCTAACTATGGCAGGTTTTTAAACATTGGGCTTTATGAAGCCTGGCATGGTGTTCCTGAGTGTTCAGAGATGTTTTTTCCTTTGCATGTAATAATAATATTGGCTTTCCGGTTCTGAGTGAAAAAAAAAAAATCAAAGCAACATGGTATACTAGCCATTAACCTCTTAGCCTTAGTTTTCTCATCTGCCACATAAAATTAGTGATGCTTCTACAGATGGAAGTGAAGTGTTTGAGGATGGGCTGTCTTTCTTTTTTGCACTAGAGGCCTGGGCATACCATCTGTGGAGGGACAGTGACATGCAGTATGTTTAACTTGCCAGTTCAGGTTGTGAGTAATACCAAGCCATGAAAATATATCCACTTTAATAAGGCATTATAGGTATTGAAGAACCAATAGAAGGGAAAAACTAAAATAAGGTTTGCCTGAGATACCGCTTTTAGAATATCATTTAGCTCATGGAGGTGGCTAATGAGGGAAGGGAGAAGGAGCAGGATAGATATTTGTGCATACACCTATCAGGTATGGGCTCTCGTGAACTGGGAGCACGGACAGTTGGGCCTTGGTCCTGATCCAGCTCAAGTAACCCAGCACTGAGTCCTGCGTGGGTGATGGTGTTTGTGAGACGTCCCTGCTCTATAAGCTACTTATTGCTTATATCTCAAAAAGCGATACCTTCATGCTATAGATACCACCTTCCCAACAGATATTCTGTAATGTAGGATATCCTATAAAAGCACCACAGTAACCGTTTGGTAAGGAAAAGGTACTGTTGAGTATCTTTAAGTTTCCAGTTTAACCTGTAGCAGCCTACTTCAACTGAATGATGGAGAAACTGGAAAAGGAATGGCATCAAACTGTTCAGGGAGGAGAAGAAGCCTCTTTAGGCCTGAGGGCAGCTTAGGCCAGAGACATGTTTTATGCTGTCTTTCCTGTTCCCCTTGCTTACCTTTTGAGATTCTGATGCCACTCCCCCATATTTTAGAAATTGGATTCCTGGAAGAAACTGTGTCAACTGACACTCACTGAGATAGGCCCAGGTGATATTTTTTTACGGCAGGTGAAGAGTGAAGCTATCTTGATCACCATCCAGCTGAGGCTGAGCTGGGAGGCAGGGGAGAGGTACTCAGGTGGAAAAAGCTGAATAGGAAAAGCATGCCCTCAACTGGTGTAGTGGTGAAAGGCAGGCAGCCTTTTGAGTTTGACTTACTGAGATGGCTGATTAATACATCTGGTTTTTTTTGTGTGTGTTTTTTTAAGATTTTATTGGGGGATTGGGGGAGGGGGAATAAATAAGTTGCTGTCCTTTTGTTCTTCAGTCTAGTTGTGGAGGACATTGCTTCACTGGCCCATGTTGGTATTATCATTGCGCTCTTCTCAGGTGAGGCAGTCACTTGCTGGCCATTGGGCTGCCGCTCACGAAAGCTCACGCCTGCTGCCGGCCAGCCCCACTGCAACCTATGCCATTGTCAGTGACTCCCGGCAGCCCAGCTCTGGGTGGAGCTTTTGTTCACCATCTTAGCTGTAGAGGGCACAGCGTCACTGGCCCTCATGTGGGATTCGAACCGGGGCCCTGCTGCTCAGAGCTGGCATCCCATGCCAACTTCTAACCAACATGCCACTCAGCCAGCCCCTACAATACATCTTTAATGTTAAGATTGTCAGTAAGATGACTAAGTGACATGATAAGAAGGCAAATGTTTGGAGGAGGTGGGACAGAGTTGCCTGGGATTCTTCCTTCATGCTTAATTTGCTTAAATGGCCTACAGATTAGAGAGAAATATAATATAATATAATGAGAGGCTTTGAATCTCACAGGGGATCCTTATCTTGATGTAGAATGGACCTTCTTGGTTCTTTAGCTTGGTACTAGTTTTATGAAAGTGCTACTTGAGAAAGCCATATAAAAGATATTAGAGGGCCGGCCGAGTAGTGCGTTGGTTAAGAGCTGGCTTGGGACGCCAGAGGGCCCCGGTTCGGATCCCACATATGAGAGCCAGTGACACTGCCCTCCACAGCTAAGATGCTGAACAACAGTTCAACCTGGAGCTGGGCTGCCGTTGAGTCGCTGGCGACAGCGTAGGGTGCAGCCCCTGCTGCAGTGGGGTGCCATGGCCTACTGTGTGTAGCCATTAGCCAGTGTGAGCGGCCGTCCAGAAGCCGGCGACTGATCTGCCTTGCCTGGGAAGAGCGCAATGATGGTGCCAACTTGGTCCAGTGAAGCAACGTCCTCCACAAATAGACTGAAGAACAAAAGGACAGCAACTTGTCTGTTCCCCCTCCCCCAATTCCTCAGGGCTGTTCCCATCCCCTAATTCCCCAATAAAAATCTTAAAAAAAAAAAGAGCCATATCATAATATGTATATTTTGGGCTAACTGAAAAAATCTAGTTGGCATTCATTGGTTAGACAATATGGATATATAGGTAGCTACGTTATATATGTATAGTTGCATTAAAAATGACTCAATTCAATATTTGAGCTCCTAATAATATAAGGCATGAACTCTGCCCTTCGGAGAAGGTAAACAGTGGAAATTGTCCTCTTATAGCGTTAGAGGAAGTGTGTTGATTAGTATTCAAGTATTATCCTGGTGGAGAGCACTATGTGTACCTCACGTTTAATAACCCCAGGCTGCTCATTTTTGTTTTTACTTTTAATATGTGCAGTTTATTATATATCAATTATACATCAATATAGCTATAAAAGAAAAAATTACCCTAAGAAACAAAAATAAAAGGAAAGAAATACTAGTTACAACCAGTAAAACATTACAGTGCAGTCTTGGGATGATGTCTGTGCATTACAGGCTGCTCATTTTTAAATTCCCTACCTTAGGGCCGACCGAGTGGCTCAGTTGGTTAAGAGCTCACTCAAGAGTGCGAGCTTTGAGCAACAGCAGTTCGATTCCCCACCTGAGCTGAGCTGTCAACAGATGGCAGGATGGTTTAGCTAAAAATAAAATAAATTCCCTACCTTAATTACAAAATTAGCCTGAAACTATGACACTTCAGCATAAGTAAGTGTAGGAATGGCAGGGCAACAATTTGGATTTTAAGTTTTATTGACCAAAGCAAAACCGAACACTTAGATGATAGATGTCTTTTGTGAGGGGAAAAAAGGTCTAATGTCTTCTAGAACTTAAGAAAGTGAAGAAAGTAGTGGAGAATGTTATTAACTGACATTTTACAAAAGTAATGAACAGATTAAATGGTGCTTTTGTGTAAATAAAGAGGATGCGAAAAAAATGTATCCACATTTTAAGAAAGGAAAACTGTGTTAGAATTGTAATAATATATATTGATAACAAAAGATGAATACAAGTCACATTTGACTTCTGCAATTACAAGAAGTGCTCAAAGTGCTTACCATCAGCGTCCAGACACTTCTGATTACAGCGAACTACTGCTTGAGCAACGTTGACCCAAGTGACCACTCGTATACATTTTTTGGCACCTCCAGTATCAGTGATGAAGCAATTGTTACCATTTAAACTGTCTTTGTTTCTTTGGGGCATATACCTAGGAGTGGAATTTGCTAGTGGGTCATATGGTCACTCTATGTTCAATTGTTGGAGAAACTGCCAGACTGTTTGCCAAAGTGGCTACACCATTTACACTCCCATCAGCTCGGGTTTTGATTTTTCCATATCTTCCCCAACACTTGTTATCTGACTTTTTGATTCTAGCCAACTACTTAAATTACAAATGAATAAGACTAGATGTTGAATAGTGTAAATCAAGCACTTTTCCTTTTTCATTGTTTATACAGGTTTGAGCAAAGTAAAACGCAGCTAAGGAGGTAGTTAACATATGTATCAGATTGACTCCCTCATATAAAGTGGCCAGAGAGAGCTCTCAGCATGGATAAAACCACATCACCTATCAGGGAGCCTTCCCCTGCCCTCTCTGTCTATGCTAGGAATTATTAACTGGGGAGACTGATAAAATGCAGATTCATGAGTTCCACCCCTAGAGAATCTGGTTAATAGGTCTGGAGGTAGTACTAGGCATCTGTACTTTCTAAAAGCACTCTCCCCTCCATCCTCCACCCCCTCCAAAAACATTATCTGTAGTGATTCTACTGCAGGGGATCCACTGACCACACACTTTGAGAAGCAAAGGAAACAGGAAACAGATTATTTTAATGTGAAACAAAAATAGGTTAGGGTTACCTATAGTCCCCTCTGTCCAAAGAAGACCCTCGGTGTGAGCTCCATAAGATGTCTTTATTTTAAGAAGACCTACTCTTGATGTATCTGCTGAAATGAATCAAATACACAAGAGTTAGCACTGACTAGTTGAATGATGTGTAATGGATACCAAGAATCACTTCAATTTTGTTGTGATCAGTGTTACTCTTCTCCCTAGGCTGTGAGTTCTAAACACTTCCACTGACTTCTTAGCCAAGGACAAAGCATCAGGGTACAAGAGGGTATTCCTACTGTAGGGCAGGGGATGTGCATTCCCTCAAGCTGTACCAAGTTATTTAGTAAAGAGTAAAGCAAAACTAAGTTGCTACTGACCCTCTAACTTTCAAGCACGTCATAAAGCTGCATATTGCAACCCATTATGGATGGTGAGAGATTTCTGCTAAAATCAAACCCTCAATAGGATTACTCTTACCTATTTGGTGTTAGAGCTACTCATTACCTCTTGCATGATCCTTTTATAGCCCTATACATTGGAATTTTTTTTATACAAAGTAAATTTTTAGTTTTTCTTTTCACTTAATTATTTCTTTAACACTCTCTATTTCAAAATAAATCAATTGTCCTGATTCTGTGTCATGTTTATCAGCCCTGCATGCACACTCACCTTTACTAACAAGTAAAATTCCCACAAATGCTGTTTTTATTTCTGTTGTAGCCTCACCTATTCAGGGCCTCAGGCCACCACTAGCCTACCTTTATGCAAATTAGAAAATGGTGCCTTATTCTCAACATGTGTAGTGCCACCTTCTGGAAAGTTGTCATAATAAATATGTGAATCAATGAAGTCTATGATAGGAAAGGTGCTCCCTATGGTTGTAGGTGAACAAACTGCAAAAGGTACACAGGCTCCAGGGAACCCTAGTATGGTAGCTTGGTTTTCTTGAAAAGAATGTATTGCTGGTTTCCTGTTCTTTTCAGGGAGGGACTAGGACTATCAGTTTCATAGTAAGCATCTGATTCTGAGTGTGGCCTCTACTGATGGGCATTCTCTGCAAGAGATTTCTATGCTCCTTCAATGCTTGTTCATATCAGTGAAAAAGGGATTTATTTTATATATCTGTGAAATGATATCTCTTCTGCCACGTTTCTAAAAAACTCGCAAAGATAGGCACAACCTCTACATTTTAAATTAAACTTACCTTGGGAACTTGATAGACTGTGGTTACCTCCTAGCCACCCCACACTCCCCCATTTCCTTCACAGCCCCCAACGCGGCTTTGAATTTATTGGAAATTAGACACTCTGAATCATTCTGAACATATGGAAGGTGAATTATTCACATGGCTCTTGTAAATCATCTCAGGGACTACAGGTGCTTTTTTTGGTGATGGTGGTGATAGAACCTTACCTCCTAAAACTCTGAGTGTGGGATCTCCAACCTTTGCAAAGAACTCTATTTCAGGCTAATGGTTACCTGGCCTATAAGTGACTCTGAAGGTGTGTGTGTGTTGTGGTATTTAAGGAACTAATGAGAATAAAAGCTACTGTTTGAGTCCCTTTTACAAGCTAGGTTTACACAATCTTTATTCTCCACCTGCAATTCAGTCAGGTGTTTTCCTTACATGAGAGGTGAGGAAAAAGGTTGAAAAGAGGTAAGTGGCAGGGTGGGGACTTAGCCCAATGTCTTACTGATGTCAAGGTGTGTGTACTTTTTCTGTTCTAGCATTCTAGGCCTCTGATGTAAGGAAACTGTAACTTGCTTCCTTGTTTGGGGCGCACAAAATCCCTCTGTTCATATATTCTTGTGTTTTAGCTTCCTGTTCTATTTTACATTTATTAAAAGCAATGATATTGGATGTTAAAATATACATTTACCAGAAATAGTTCAGAAGAGAGAGCTAAGCAAGGTATGCTTTTAACCTAAAAATGCTAAAATTACAATCGACTTACCTGGCTGATGCTCTGAATCCATTTGTATAAATATTGCTGGCTTTTGTGGCTGTCAGTTTGGATATCTTCTTTGCAAAGAGAATATTCATGAATAGCTAGGAAGCAGTTATATCTCTCCAAACTGAAAGCCTTAGGAACAAATAGTGGAAGGTTGCGCCTCAGATCCTACAGTCTTCTGAGCATCTGGTTCTTAGGGGGAAAGTGCAGTAAGGGACACAGACAGCCGGGTAAAAGGTCCCAAGGGTCCTAATGACCAAAGCAAGATTCTCTCTCTTTTTTTTTTTTTAAAGATTTTTATTGGGGAATTGGGGGAAGGGGAACAGACAAGTTGCTGTTGTTTTGTTCTTCAGTCTAGTTGTGGAGGACGTTGCTTCACTGGCCCAAGTTGGCACCATCATTGCGCTCTTCCCGGGTGAGGCACATCAGTCGCCGGCTTCTGGACGGCCGCTCACTGTGGCTGCTGGCCGCTCACGCTGGCTGCTGGCTATACACGGTAGCCCATGGCAACCCACTGCAGCAGGGGCTGCAGCCCACACCGTCGCAGGCGACTCACGGCAGCCCAGCTCCAGGTTGAACTGTTGTTCAGCATCTTAGCTGTGGAGGGCAGTGTCACTGGCCCTCATATATGGGATCTGAACCAGGGCCCTCTGGTGTCCCAAGCCAGCTCTTAACCATCGCACCACTCAGCCTGCCCAAGATTCTCTCTTCTTGTCTTTTTTTTTTATACTATTTAAAAAATTGTGGTGAAATATACATAGCATCAAATTTACCATTTTAGCCATTCTTAAGTATACAACTCAGTGGTATTAAGTACATGTACAATGTTGTACAAACATCACCGCTATCCATTTCCAGAACTTTATCAGTCATTCCAAGCAATAAACTCTACATCCATTAAATAATAACTACTCATCCCGCCTCCCCCTCTGTTTTTTGATGGATTTTTTTTTTAGTTAGTTGTTTTGCCTCTGTTAAGTAATCAGCTAATTTCCCCTCTCTGCTATTAAGATTCTAGCCTTTAGTTATTTATTATATCTTACTAATTTTTCTGCTTCTAACCTGATTTTGGCTAAGAAACATTACTTAGCTTATCAAAATTGTATGGAAAGTTAAGTTAAGAGAACTTCTTATCCTTAAAAGCCTTTCCTATGAAGAGAAGAGCTACGATTTTGTGATGCTAACTCAACTATTAAAAGACCGTTTGCTTCCTTAGTTCCAGACGTTTCCCAAACGGTTTATATTATTGGAAGTCAGGCTTATGGAAAAATAAAGTAGTATTGTTTTTAAGAGAATAATAGATTAATAGACAGATGAATAAATAACGAGAAATGCTTTATATCTTGCATTTTGAAAAAAGCTTTCATTTAATACGTCTACCACTAGTTAGTTTCCTTTTAAAGAGAAGCTTCCTTAGTGCTTCTATGATATGAGTGAATTTGGGGAATAAGACTGTTAACACCTTGTCAGAAAGCACAACTATGGGCAAAGTAAGGTTCACCCCCATGCAGTAATTAATGTTTCCATGAGCCCACCTGACAGCTTACTTTATTAGTATTTGTTTTAACATCCAAGATTTTTCTTTTACAGGTATTTGATTTTACTGCCATAGACTTTACATCTGACACTGATGAAATTCCAGATATTATAGCTTTGGAAGAAGAGTATGGATCAGGTCATTCACATGCTAATAACTCTGAGTCTTCTCAGGACAAAATGTTGAACAACAAGAAAATACTCCCTTGGGGCCTTCCAGACGCCGCTGCCGGGACTTTTCTAAGCTCAGCCATGGTCAACCCCACGGTGTTCTTTGACATAGCTGTCGACGGTGAGCCTTTGGGCCGAGTCTCCTTTGAGCTGTTTGCAGACAAAGTTCCAAAGACAGCAGAAAATTTTCGTGCCCTGAGCACTGGGGAGAAAGGATTTGGTTATAAGGGTTCCTGCTTTCACAGAATTATTCCAGGATTTATGTGCCAGGGTGGTGACTTTACACACCATAACGGCACAGGTGGCAAGTCCATCTATGGGGAGAAGTTTGATGATGAGAATTTCATCCTGAAGCATACAGAGCCTGGCATCCTGTCCATGGCAAATGCTGGACCCAACACAAACGGTTCTCAGTTTTTCATCTGCATGGCCAAGACTGAGTGGTTGGATGGCAAGCACGTGGTCTTTGGCAAGGTGAAAGACGGCCTGAATATTGTGGAAGCCATGGAGCACTTTGGATCCAGGAATGGCGAGACGAGCAAGAAGATCACCATTGCTGACTGTGGACAACTCTGATGCATTTGACTGGTTTTATCTTAATCAGACCATTCCTTCCGTAGTCAGGAGAGCACCCCTGCCCCATCTGCTCGGAACACCCCATAATCTTTGTGCTCTCGCAGTTCGTTGGGTTCCATATTTTCTTTTCCCCCTCCAAGTCTAGCTGGGTTGCAGAGTTAAATTTATGAATATGAAATAAAAGCTAAACAACAACAAAAAATAAAATAACATATTCCCTTGGCTGAATGCACAATTTGTATTACATCAAACTTTATAATTTGCTCATGTGTTTATTCCTGTGACTTTCAGGATTAATCTGTTGGGGGTTAGTCTGTTGTTTGGTTACTGATCTTAACTGAAATGAAATTTTGATCTAAACATTTGTAAGAGATCATAGTTTCATGTCATATATCATTTTATATAATTCTTCAGAGTTTAATCATTGAAATGCCTAGAATAAAAATTGGTCTGTATAACCTTGAATCAGTGTGTGTGTGTGTGTGTTTTAATACTGATATAGTGAACATTCATGTGTTTGTGTGTGTGTTTTGTTTTTTGGTTTGTTTGTTTTTGGCCTCTCAGGATTCATTTTTACTTCTTCTGGTAACAGCACCTTTGTATCTTTGGGGGGTGGGGGTGGGGATGGTCTTAGTGGTCCTCTAGTCAAAGGTTTTTTGCTTTCCCCTAGCCTAGGGGTGGGCATATGACTGAAAACATGTCTAATGGGAGGAAGCATATCATGATGGGTAAAGGCTTAGACTCTGAGTTCTAATCGTGGCTCTGCCACCTACTAGCTGTTTGACCTTAAACAAATTGCTAAATTTCTTTGTACCTCAATTCTCTTATCTGTAAAATGGGGATAATAGGAGGTTTGTCATGAAAAATCAATACCATTTGTGAAAAGCTTAGAGAAATGTCTGACCCAGAGCAGTGTTACTTAAGTATTAGTTTAGTAGTAGAAACAATGGACAACCCAGTAGCAATAAACATCCCTAGTGTCCAGAATGTAGCTTTGAAATACCTTTTTCCACTAGAAGAAATCAGGGCTTCTTGGAGAAATGGCGAATTCCAGGTCTAAGGCAGGATATGTATAATATGAGCTTTAAATTTCTTCTTATTCCAGATAGCGAGGAAGCCAATTTGAAAAGGTTCCCATTAACCAAAGATGGGCAATTTGAACTTCAATAAGGATAATAATTTCAATAGACTGAACCCCATCAAATGTGAACCCCATCAATATCCAAATATATCATTACATGTGTAAACAACCTAATTGGTCACCTTCAGGGGATGATAGCAAACCAATTCATTGTCTTGAAAACTGGTAAATAAAGGGAAAGAATCAAGAATTTATCCTTCCTTATATCTTTACCAGTAAACAAACAAACAGTAAATGAAGGAAAACTTCTCTCATAACAGTACTCCCACTAACCAATGAAACTAAATGATACCTTGGTCAGTTTGAATTGCTATAACAAATTACTCTAGACTGAGTGGTTTAAAAAAACAAACATTTATTTCTCACAGTTCTGGAGGCCAAAAGTTTGGGGTCAGGTTGCCAGCATGGTTGGTTTTGGGTAAGGTGCTCTTCCAGGTTGCAGAAAGTCAACTTGTCTCTTGGTATCCGCACATGGTGGAAAGAGCAGAGAGATGAAGTAAGCTCTCTTGTGACTCTTCTAAGGGCACTAATCCCATTCATGAGGGTTCCACCCTTGTGAATCCTAATTACCTCCCATAGGTCCCATCTTTTTTTTTTTTTTTAAAAGTTTTTTATTGGGGAATTGGGGGATGGGAACAGTGCTGGGAAATTGGGGGAAGGGGAACAGACAAGTTGCTGTCGTTTTGTTCTTTAGTCTATTTGTGGAGGACGTTGTTTCACTGGCCCAAGTTGGCACCATCATTGTGCTCTTCCCGGGTGAGGCAGATCATTCGCTGGCTTCTGGATGGCCTATCACTGTGGCTGCTGGCAGCTCGCGCTGGCTGCTGGCTACACACAGTAGCCCATGGCACCCCACTGCAGCAGGGGCTGCAGCCTACACCGTCACCGGCGACTCATGGCAGCCCAGCTCCAGGTTGAGCTGTTGTTCAGCATCTTAGCTGTGGAGGGCAGTGTCACTGGCCCTCATATGTGGGGATCCGAACCAGGGCCCTCTGGCGTCCCAAGCCAGCTCTTAACCAATGCACCACTTGGCCGGCCCAGGTCCCATCTTTTAATACCATCACATTGAAGAGTAGGGTTTTAACATATGAATTTTGGGGGTGGGCACCAACAGTTCATAACAAATGATAAATTACAATTTCAACATTTTGCAATTCCCAGTGAATTAAATGGATCTAAGTATTTAGCATTAATGCCTGTCAATGGCATAAACAGAGATGTTATGTTCTGCCTGATGAAGAGCATGCACCAACCATCAATTAGCCTTGCCAAAGGGATCATACCTGAGTCTGATCAATCCTCTGGATCCAGGTGCCAATTTGAAAAATTTGGAGGACAGAGACAGTGGAATATGTTGAAGTGATCATGAGGATACAATCAGTAAAACCCAGACTATGGGAAACTATTCTGGTCATATAGCCCCAGTTCTCCAATGGATACATTGTAAGAAAAAAAAAGGAGGAGGGATTAAGGAAAACTTGCATATTAAGTTATACTATTAAGAAAGACCAAAACCCAGGAAAGACCAAAAAAAAAAAAAAGCCAAGACAAATATAAAAAGGGCAAGACTAAATTTCAGTGTGTAGGGAAGCACACTTGGATGGTAAAACTACAAGACAATGTAAGGAAGCAATTACTATAAAACTGACAATGATGGTTACTTTTCAGCAAAGGAGGGATGGCTGGAGTTTTATTTTGTAGACATAAAAAATGTCCAAACCTGTAGAAAATTTTTATGAATTTGTTTGAGCCAAACTGATGACATTACTGGGAAGCAAGATTTCAAATGCTCAGGAGAATGACAGTTTTGCAGTTTCTTTTATATATCTGGAATTAAAGAGGGAATGCAAGGAAGATTATTATATGAAGGTGGGAAAACACAAGGCAGGGAAATTTCTGTAATTGGATTATAGGATAGTTAAGATTATGTGCTCTTTTGAGTGTGGTTACATTTCATAAGAGTCTGAAAAAGAGGCACTGCAAAAATGTCTTAAGCTAGATGCACAAAAACAATGAACAAGGCTTAATTAAGGCAAAGATAAACTTTCACTAGGGAGGTTACAGGCCTGAGGTGTGACCACCCACCATGACCTGCCCAGCTAGGAATTTCTTTCCTTTTTTTTTTTTAAAGATTTTATTGGAGGATTGGGGGAGGGGAACAGTGTTGGGGAATCGGGGAAGGGGAACAGACAACTTGCTGTCCTTTTTTTTTCTTCAGTCTAGTTGTGGAGGACATCGCTTCGCTGGCCCATTATCAATTGTGCTCTTCCCAGGTGAGGCAGCTGCTCGCCAGCCATTGGACTGCTGCTCACGGCAGCTCATGAAAGCTCATGCCCACTGCTGGTCAGCCCCACTGCAGCCTACGCCGTCGCCGGTGACTCATGGCAGCCCCAGCTCCAGGTTGAGCTGTTGTTCACCATCTTAGCTATAGAGGGCACAGCGTCACTGACCCTCATGTGGGATCCAAACTGGGGCTTTGATGCTCAGAGCTGCTCAAAGTCCGAAGCCAACTGCTAACCAACAGCGCCACTTGGGTGGCCCCCAGCTAGGAATTTCTGATCAGATCACACTGTGAGGTAACTTTTGGTTAGATTTATTATAGAGCCCCATTTTCATCCCCAATTTCTTGTCCTGGGTGGTAGTTACAAAGACATTCACCTGTAATAATATAGAAGGCTATCTAAGAGAAGCAAATTGGACTGCCTGGGATATAAATCTTGAGTGGAGTGGTACATGGGCCTGCCCTTTCTGAACCTTATTCTCTAGCCTTTCTGTTCTTTATTTATGCTACTCAATATCAATCTAATAAAACTCCATCAGACTCAGTTTTGCTGCTTACAACCAAAGAATGTTAATTGATACAAGTGGCCTTGATAAGTTCCATTAGTGGTATTAGCAGTAAGGTGGGTATAGATAACTTTTTTGAGAAGTTTTGATGTAATGAGAAATGAAGTGGTAGCTAGAAGTGCATTGGGGTCAAAGGATTTTTTAATTTTTAATTATTTTTTATTTTTTATTGTTAGTTTCAGGTGTACAGAACAATGCAATAGTTATCCTTTTCAAAAGATTTTTTTCTAATGATGGAGGATATTAAATACATCATGTTTGTATACTGCGGGAGACCAGCTCCCACAGGTCCAGGGGAAAAGCCCTTAGGTGGAGACAGCATCGGCGAGAAAAAAAGAAAATCGCATGGAGAACCAGGAGCGCTTTTTCAGGAAGAGAAGTGTCTCAATTTATTGTTACAGCATGTCCCTTTTTATACCGGACAGTTAACCATTACATCATTGAGCTATTTTTTCCCAGAGATAAACCTTTACCCATCTGCCTTCTACATAGTTTCATTATTTCTTCCTTCCCAAGGTCTATTCTCCTTAGAAGCTTGTCCTTCCTAGAGACTTACTATCTCATGCTATTTCTGTTACAGGGTACAGCTGGATTTGTTTCATACTAATGACTAACTTATTTTGTCTTTACCTATGATGGTCAGAGCTGAATTCCAGCCTTGGCGTTGGAAGGATGTTTTATGGCCAATTAGTAGTTATCTCAAACACCATAGCTGAGCAGAATCCTGAGACTAGAGTGCATGCTTTGCTTATTACTAGGAGATTAGGAGACTAAGTGCGACTAAGATTGCTTTTAGTGTATAAAATAGAATTATAGTAATATATAAGACTTACTAGGTTGATTAAGGTAAATAAAACAATTAATATCGGAAGGAGTATCAGGTCTTCATTCTACTGAGGGTGTCTAAAGGGGACTCTTTATTCAAGGCACAGCGTTTTTCCCACGCGCTGGCCACACACACCTGCTCCAGGCCAAGGCCGCCCATTTCCCAAGGGATGGCTGTCATAACCTCTGCCAGCAAGCCGCCCCCCCCCCCCGGGGGAGAGGGGAGTGGGGAAGCAAATGTTCCCAAAGTGAGACAAAGTGTGGCAATTCACTCTGTAACTTTCAAGGTTGTTTGTGAAGTAGGCTTGCAGCAGCACAGTGGAGAATGAGATCTATCTAGCAACCTTCCCACACTGCTCACCGGGCCTGGGAGCCTGTCAGCTAGTGAGCAGCTAGGCTTAACCCTTACTGCAGACCTCCGGCTCTCCACAGAAAAGGCCAATTATGACTTCTGTAGACTATATTTTAACCAAATAGTATTGAGATATTAAATGATAATTAGCCCATTCAGATTAAGCTGGTCATTTCCAAACTCAATTCTTTTAAAACTCTAAGACAAAGTGTCCCAGACATCCAGCGGCTCCCGGCAGTATACTGATGGGAAGAATTGATGATGCAGGACAAAGTAGAGGACAAATGCTGGAGCAAACTCCTTGAGTAGGAGAAAAGGAGTATTAACCATCGAATAAGTGTGAAAGGATTAGTCTTATGTAGGCACACCTTTACTAACCCAGATTAACAAAAGAGAAAGAAGAATACATGGAAAAAGACATAGGCAGGTTGGTAAATTGTTGATGAAAGTTACTTTCTAGAAGCACCTATTAACTAAGAGTACAGGACATCATTGAGAGTGAGGAGGGGAAAGAGATATTGGAAGTTTAGGGGAGGGAAGAAGATACATATAATTGTGTGAAAAGTGAGATTTGGGAAGAATAGTAGGAGAAGGTAGACCTAAGAGCCCACTTGAAACTATCATGAATTTTGAGTGACAGCAGGCATCATAATTGTGTTGAAGCTGCTAAGCTGCAGGTGTGGAATAGGCTGAGAACTGGATTTAATGGGGATTTGAGTTCTGCCAGATAAATCTAACAAAGAGAGAAAGGGGCCAGGGAGCTGAGAAGAGGTGAAGGAACTGAGAGGCCAAGGCCTTGGAAAAGTCACCTACATGGATATTGAAATCACCAAAAATTATCCCAGGAGTAATGTTGCAGAGACAGAGAATTAAGTGCTAAATCTTCTCCAGCAACCAGGAGCTCTTACACGTGACCTCCACGAGAAAGTTGTGAGTGACAGCATCAACTTCAAAGGAGCTGGTGGTTCTAGTGAGGCAGTAAGTGCCAGAAGTGGCAATGAGAAATAAGTAGGATACCCACCCCATTTCCAGGCCCTTCTGTACATGGGCTGTAGGACGTAAGAGTCATCAATTGAGAGGGCTGCAGGGGGAAGCTGTAGGCTTCGGGGAGAGCCAGATTTCTTAAAGCAAGAAGATGAGAGGAACATTCAGCATTTGAGGATACAGAAGATTTTAGTAATAACAGACCTAAGGCTCACAGGTTAGGTGACTAATTTAGGGTCACACAGCTAGTGAGAATAACTGAAGATGGAATCCCGTGCTTTTTATACTACACGGAGGCATAATCTGACCTAATAAGTCTATATGAGCAAAAGGAACAGCAAAGACTAGAGATCAGAAAGCTCCAAGCTGGAGGACCACTTAAAATGCCGCTTGCTATTACACAAGCGTAAAAAACGTCGCTGGTCACGCAGTGCCCTGTGGGTCTTGTAGTTTCTAGGCTTAGGCGTGGCGGGAAGTTGAGGGAGGGAAGGGCGCATTGCATGGCGGGAGATATAGTCGGCCCCGGAAGTCGCTCCTCCTCCGGAAGTCAGGCGGCGCGCGCAAACCGCTCTGCCGGAAGCGCGGGATTCTTGGTTTGTAGTGTTTAGGCAGCTGTTTTGTGTTACCGTTAGAGGCTCCTTTTCCATGAGACTTTTACGGCTATTTGAGGTGAAATGGCTCCGGGCTAGACAGGAGCTGGCGGTGGCAATGCAGGGGCCGTCGCGACCTCTGGTTGCCCGTAGGGAAGGAGCCTGAGGGCTCTCGGAGTCATTTGGGCCTGTGCCTTTTGCCTTTGCAGTGACACTACCTACCGCGAAGATGAGCTTGGCCTGGGTCACTTCTTTTGAGAAGGCGCATCTCTGGATGTATCTGCAGGCGCTTGGCTTCGAGCCAGGCCCGGCGACCATTGCCTGCGGAAAGATCGTGTCGCACACGCACCTCGGAGTGTAAGGAGGCCGGGGCCGGAGGGGCGGGGGAGTCTGAGCCTGGACACGCTGGGGTGACCCGCCCTTTCGCGGACCTCGCCGGTTGATGAATCAAGGAATCGAGCGATTACTGTGTGCCAGGCACTGGCTACAAAGCTTTTGCTCCCGGTGGCTGCCAGCCTGGTGGCACAGACTATTAATTATAGAACCGTGCCGGGAGCAGTGTGTAGGGGAGTAGAGTTGCAGTTGGTGCAAAACTGAAGGGGCAGCTTAACCCTGCTTTTGTGGCAAAGCTGCGGGGTCTGTGACATCGAGGGAGGGATGGCGAATTGGTAGTGGAAGGACGTGAGAGCAGTATATGCAAGCACCTCTAGGACTCAAGGGAGCTTTCCACGGTGATTGCTCTTCAGTTTACATTTTTTACTTTTTGAATTCGCAAACTGAGGCATGCCACAGTTAATAAAAAACAGAGAAGGGTGTTAAGATGAAGTAAAAGCCCCTCCCCTACTTTGTCACTAATGATATGGTTATGACCATACATTTAAATATTTTGTTTATGTATCTGTGTGTTAATTTACCAACTTTAGACAATATCTAAATTTCCCATTATAAGGCCAAGGGAAATTTGGGATACACAGGCTATCTCCTGGTCTCTATCTTCTTGAATTAATTGTTATTTCAGTTCTTCTAGTGGCAAAGTTTTATGTGTGCTTAGACTTTTATTTCTTGATGTATCAATCTCAAGTGTTTCTTGATTCCCCACTGTGTAATTTCACAATGAAAGTAGCTATATTTATAAAATAATTAGCTCACTTACACTTTCCTACCCTCTGCCTTGTCCCTCTTCTTGACTTTTTTCAACTGTATTATAATGGTTTTACTGTCAAGGTTTAGAGCTGTAATTAAGTTTTGTTTGGTAACTATTTGTTTAGAAGTTACTATTATTTCCATGTAGAAGTGCTTTGTCTAGAATTCTAAAAATTGACAACCTGTGGATAGTATTTATCAGGCTATGATTATGTATTAATAAATATTCCGTTTAGCTCACCTGAGTTAATGCTCCACAGCAGTCTGATTTTCTCTGTTCTGTCAGAGAAGTTTAAAGCTTCTCCAGGCCTCTACTGAGAATGGTTCCCATTTCCACTGCATCCTTTTCTACCGCATTTTAGCAATCGTGGCTTGCTCTGGTTTATCCAGTTGCAATCTGCTTTCTGCCTTTGAACATTAGTTTAAATCTGTCAAGTTGTGGTTCAGTGATAGCAGGTTTTTACCCCCCCCCCAACAGTGTCACTGATTTTTTTTTACCCCCTATGTTTCTAGAATCATGGGCTATTGGGAGGAATCTACCATTTTGAAACAAATATCCTCTTTGAAATGCTTTAATCATGTGGCATCAAGTTTATTTTAAAAAACATTTTTACTCATTTATATTCACATATGGTAAAATTCATTTTTTTTGGTATGCAGTTTTAGGAGTTTCTGGTTTCTGTGAGCATGTAGTTGTGTAACCATTTTTCTTATAAAGTTAAACATACACTTAACATTTGATCCAGCGATTTTGTTCCTAGGTATTTGCCCCAAAGATTTGCATTTTGGAAAAATCATTCTGGTTGCCTTACAGAGAATGGATTAGAGGGGGAATCAGGGCTTTGCAGTTACAGTAGGGCTAAACTAATGTGGCAATGGGAATGGAAGGAAAAAGGTGGTTCATTCATTTGCTTATTCAACAAATAATTAGTTGAATACAGTATTGGACCTGAGTATAAAGTGGTGAACAGAATATACATAAACTTTTACCTTATAGAATTTTAGTCTAGTGGGTGAACAGACATCTTCAACAAATATCTTATTGAAAGTTAAAATAAGTATCAAAGAGGAGAGAACAGAATACTGTGTAAAAAAATAGCAAGTCTGTGAGAGATTAAGGAGGTAAGAACTTAATTTCTATTTTTTGAGGAATAGAAACATTCCAAGGACAAATAGTTGCCTGATAAGCATGGGAAGTTTATTTTTAAAAAATATTTTTGTGGGTTTAAAAATTAATTTATTGGGCCGGCCGAGTGGTTTGTTGGTTAAGACTTGGCTTGGGAGCGCAAGCTCTGAGCAGCAGGGCCGCCAGTTCGATTCCCACATGGGCCAATGACGCTGCGCCCTCTACAGCTAAGATGGTGATCAACAGCTTGACCTGGAGCTGGGCTGCTGTGGGGCTGGCCGGCAGTGGGCTGCCGTCCAATGACCAGCAACCGATCTGCCTCAGCCAGAAAAAACGCAATGATCACAATACCAACATGGGCCAGTGAAGCGACGTCCTCCACTAGACTGAAGAACCAAAGGACAGCAACTTGTCTGTTTCCCTTTCCCGATTCCCCAGTGCTGTTCCCTCCCCCAAATCCCAAATAAAATCTTTAAAAAAAAAACCAAAAAAAACAAAAAAAACTATGGACTGTGAGATGACTTATTTCAAATCACTGCTCTTCTATTTCCTGGTTATGTGATTTTGGGAAAACATCTAACCTCTTTACATTTTAAATTTCTTCATCTGTATACTGAGGATAATCAAACTACTTTCTACTCTCATTAGGATTAAATTAAATAACCCATGTTAAAGCAACTAGCAATAGTACTTAACCTCATATGATTGTGGTGAAAATTAGATGAGTTACTACATGTAAAAGGCTTAATCCGCTGAGTCATCTGGCCACCCTTCAGCAGCTTGCAGGCAGCTCAGCTCAAGGTGCCGTGTTCAATCTTTTAGTTGCAGGTGGGCAGCCCACCATCTGGTGCAGGAGTCAACAGGCAACCTTGTTAGGAGCATGTGCTCTTACCAGTTGAGCCATCCTGTTGCCTCGTGGCAGCTCAGCGGCAGCTCAACTCGGGCCCATGTGGGAATTGAACTGGTGATCTTGTTGCTCAGACCTCGCACTCTAACCAACAGAGCCACTCGGCAGGCCAAGAATGAAAAATATTAATTTGTCAAACTCCTATACAGCTTTTGATTATATTTAGTTAATATTATTAACCATTTTCCTTTTTATTTTTCCTTATTTTGTTTCTTTTTAAACCATTAGGAACATGTTTGACAAGCTGAACCGTGATGCCTTTCACATAGTTTCTTATTTTTTGTTTCAAACGCTGGACCAGTCTCTCACCAAAGAAGTTTTCAAGTGAGTAAAAGTTATTTAATTTTCTTTTTGTAAGTAGCCATTCTCAAATTTGAAAAGAGACTATGCCTTGATATAAGCTAGAATTTCAACTTTGGCCTTTGAATATTATTTTGAATGGGTGTCACAGAAGGTAGGTTTGATTCTTAAAAAAATTAGTGCTTAACCTTTATAAATCTGAGTGACTTTTCTTTGGTACTTATCTTAAAATCACATAGCTTAAGGCCATTGTATATTTCTTAGGGAAGTTAGATTTTATTTTATAAAATTAGTTCTTAACATTCTTCATAGTCTTGATTATTAGGCAAAACAATGAGCTGATACGAATTTATCTATAAACTCAATTTGCCTTCCTTTTTTTTTGTTTTTGTTAATTACCCCTTGCCTTACTCTTTTTCTTGTAGGCAATATTATTTGTTTTGTTTATTTTTACTTTCTAGGTCTCTGTAAATCCTTATTTTTGTTATTGATATATATATATATGTGTGTGTGTGTGTGTGTATATATATATATATATATATATATATATATATATATAAATATCTCGATATATATATAAAAATGTCAAATGCTATAGGCCAAAATGATTTTTATTAAGTTTAGCTTATTGTTATATACTGTTGAATATTAAATAATTTAAGAAGGAGCTAAAAATGTGAATACTCACTAGCCTTGATTCCAAGTTATATTACATATGATTTGGGTTTCTTCTGTCAGAAAAAGTGTTCAAATTTGTTTTAATATTTGTATTGTACCATTATGCTCTTAACATAGGAGAGTAACAAGTAAGTCCATTGTTTAGGGTATTGTTTTTATTTTTGATAATTTATTCTTAATATTTTGCCTTCAGTTAAAGTTATAGTGACCAGAAGAACAGGTATATTTGAGACATTTATTTTGGAAATCCCTATCATTATGGTATAGGGCTTACCCTGTCCAAATAAAAATAGATTTTCTGATTTTTTTCCTCCTTGATTATAAACAAAATACAGCTCATTTTAAACAATTGAGAAAATACAGAAAAATGTCAAGAAAGATGTAGAAATCATTCCTAAACCCGTCAACCAGAGCATAACACTCTTTTTTTTTTTTTTTTAAAAGTTGAACATTTTATTTATTTTTTTTATTTTTTTTATTTTTTTTTTTAAAGATTTTTATTGGGGAATTGAGGGGATGGGAACAGTGTTGGGGAATCGGGGGAAGGGGAACAGACAAGTTGCTGTCGTCTTGTTCTTCAGTCTAGCTGTGGAGGACGTTGCTTCACTGGCCCAAGTTGGCACCATCATTGCGCTCTTCCAGGGCGAGGCAGATCAGTCGCCGGCTTCTGGACGGCCGCTCACAGCGGCTGCTGGCCGCTCACGCTGGCTGCTGGCTACACACAGTAGCCCATGGCAACCCACTGCCACAGGGGCTGCAGCCCACGCCGTCGCCGGCGACCCATGGCAGCCCAGCTCCAGGTCGAGCTGTTGTTCAGCATCTTAGCTGTGGAGGGCAGTGTCGCTGGCCCTCATATGTGGGATCCGAACCGGGGCCCTCTGGCATCCCAAGCGAGTTCTTAACCATCGCGCCACTCGGCCGGCCCCAGAGCATAACACTCTTGACATTCTACTCTTTTAAGTCTTTTTCTATGTATACTTAATTTTTCCTATGAACATTGAATTATGTTATGCTATAGAAATATAAAAAACAGGGGGCCCTAAACAAATAAGTATGCCTCACAATAAAAATTTAGACAAAACTGATTATTGGGAAAGCAATAAATAAATTTTAAAGTCTATTACTTTTAGCTGAAGCTGAGGCACAGCTTTTCTTAATAATTTTATTGTTTGTTTATCTACAAAACATTCGCACCCACTGACTATGGTATAGGTCATCTTTAGGAGTAAAAAATTCTCATGCCATTCCTTTTCCTGTGCTCTTCATGTATAACCATTTATGTTTCTCTTTCCCCCTCACCCAGGGTTAACAAATTTATTTATATCATCTTTATGTGTTAGTCCATTGAATCCATTGAGAGTGTTCTCACCCTTAACTAATTTTTAGAAATTTTAATAGTGATTAATTCCTTCATGTAATATATGTATTCATTGATGATTTGCATTAAACTGAACTTAACCCTATAGATACTTATAAAGAAAAAGACCCATTTTCTCACAGGCTGGTGCCTTTCTTTAGTTGAAACCCATGAATGTTAGCCTTGATTGATTTAGCATTATTGTTTTTAGTATAGGAGATAAATGTGATGGTTTTTTAAAATTAATTAATTAATTAATTAATTATTATTTTTTTAAATTGGGGAATTGGGGGAGGGGAATAGCTTTGGGGAATCAGGGAAGGGGAACAGACAAGTTGCCGTCCTTTTGTTCTTCAGTCTAGTTGTGGAGGACATTGCTTCACTGGCCCAAGTTGGCATCATCACTGCGCTCTTCTCTAGCGAGGCAGATCAGTCGTCAGCCTCTGGACGGCGGCTCACAGCGGCTGCTGGCCGCTCAACGCTGGCTGCTGGCCACACACGGCAACCCATGGCCACCCACTGTAGCAGGGGCCGCAGCCCATGCCGTTCCCAGCGACCCATGGCAGCCCAGCTCCAGGTTGAGCTGCTGTTCAGCATCTTAGCTGTAGAGGGCAGTGTCACCGGCCCTCACATGTGGGATCCTAACTGGGGCCCTCCGGCGTCCCAAGCCAGCTCCCAACCAACGCGCCACTTGGCCGGACCTAAATTTGATGTTTTTAAAATTTAAATTTTGTTCATAATTTTGTTTATAATTTTTATGATTTTATTTTTGTTTTTAAGACTTTGTTGGCCTCCATTTGACCAAAAAACTGATGCTGAATTCCGGAAACATTGCTGTGAATGGTTAAAAAAGATTTCTGTAAGTGTTTTCTTTCTGGAAGATACGAAGTTAAAAATGACAGTTTTTTTTTCTGGCTTTATTGAGGTATAAAATTAATATAAATTAATAGTATAATTTTTAGAGGTGAGATATTTTAATGCTTTTATGCTAACAGTATGAGCCAGGAAATATTAATTAGAATAATACTTTTTGATGTTTTTTTTCTGGGATTCTGTATATTTCCAGGAAATCAGCTTTGCTGGCTGTATACATTGGAAATAAGTTTTTGAGTTCCTTAGAGTTTATATCACAGTTTTTATTTAAAGCAAACTTTTTTACCATAGGTTATTTTTAGCTTGTGTCCTCAAATAGTATCAATAACTGTCTTTATATTGTAATTATTTTTTATAATTATATTTTACTTATTTTGTCCACCAAGAATTTAGAAAGATTAAAAAATACAGCTTCTGGTTCAGATGGAATAATCCTGATCAATCCTGTTATGCTTAAAAAACAGTATGATGTAAATATGAAAGTTATTGTTGATAAGGTCTTAAAATTATCATTTTTTTTCCATAGGTTGAATGTGGAAGTAGCTTTCCTCAAGTTCTTGGTTCACTATTTCTTTCTCCTGGTGGTCCTAAGTTTATTCATCTGATGTATCATTTTGCAAGATTTGTTGCAATAAAATATATAAAAACCCATTCTAAAAGTAAGTTAAACTTATAATAGAAATTTTTTTTGTTTTGATTCTTAAATTTGTGTTATACTTTGCAGTTTATAAATTATCAAGAGATTTTATTAAAGCAATATAAGATAAAAACATTAATTTACCTCAAGAGGCAAATGGTTAATGTTCTACTGGAACTGTATTTTGAAGTCCTCTCATAATGAACATAAACTATTAAGATTATTTTATTATGTTCTAATATAGGGGTTGGGAAACGTTTTTTATATAAGGCCAGATAGTAAATATTTTAAACTTTGTGCACCACACAGGTCTGTTACATATAGCTCTCTCTGCTTTCTTTTTTTAAATACAACCCTTTAAAAATGTAGAAAGGATTCGTAGCTTCCTGACTTCAGAAAGTTAGCCAACAGTCCATATTAGCCTGCAGGTTATAGTTTGCCTCTAATACATGTATTAAATGTGTTGAATTGGTTTGAGGTTTATTTTGGTAATGTGTGTGAACTTTTTTTTTGTTAAAAGTTGATGTTTTAAAGGGATTTGATTCTATTTGCTAATTCATAGAAACAAAATACATTTTGGATATTTAAGCTGAGACTTAAGAGAAAGCTGTTTGTAGCTTATTAAAAATACTGTTCTGTTTAATTGGTTTATACTCATAAAACATGAACAGGAAAATAACAGAAAAGTTGATGCAGTAAGCCCATCATCATCTTCTAATTTCTAGAGACAACAACTGACATTTTGGTTTCTTTTTTTTTTTAGTGCACATATTACATCTGTATGTTTCAATTATTTCGAATAGGTAATCTTTCCCCTGATTCAAAAATCAAACTGTGACAAGTCTATATCTTCTACCTCTGTTCTCTGACTACCTAGTTTCCCTTAGAAGCAACCAATGTAATTGATAATGCAACCAAACATGTATATATTTTTTAAAAAAATCCTAAATGTTGACATACATCTGGTTTTGAATCTTGTGTTTTTCATGTAACAGTATATATTGAAGATCATCCCATATCAATTCTAGAGCTTTCTTATTCTTGTTTTCTCTCTTTAGAGCTGCATACTTGAATGGATTGCCACAATGTATTTAATCAGTTTTCTGACAAACGCTTGGCTTTTTCTCTTAATCTTTTGCTATAAAAACAATGTTACATGTATCACTTCATGTATGTTCATGTGTGTGTGTGTAATTCCTGAAAGATGATTTCTTGATAAAAAAAATGTGCATTTGTCATTTGCGCTTATTACCAGATTATTATTTTCTATAGAGATTGGACAGTTTATACTCCTATCACCAGTGTATGGAGAGTGTCTGTTTTCCGAGAGGCTCACCAACATTGTGTGTGATTAGACATTTTTATCTTTTTAGTCTGATAGTTAAAGTGGAATCTCAGGGTAGTTTTAGTTTGTATTTCTCTTATAATGTATTTAGTTAAATTGAAAATTGTTCATGTATTTCAGGGCAATTTATATTCTTTTTGTTCTCTATGTTTATATCCTTTGTCCATTTATTCTCTTAAGTTACTGGTTTTTTTCTTTTTCATTTGTAGGAGCTTTTATTATCCCTTCTTTGTGATGTGACATGTAAACCTTTTTTTTCTAGTTTTATTTTTTATGCATGATTTTTTAAAACATACACATGTGTTGCTTTATAAGCATTTGTGTGTCTTAAATTTAATGTAACATAAGCATATTACAGTTTTTCTATTAGTAGATGATCTGTTCCAGTTACATGTAACCCAAACTATTTTATATGAAAGCTTTGTGTTTGAATTTAGCAATTTATTGTGCATAAGGCTTCTAAGTATGGGTTGTCCTATTTAAAAAAAATTTACTAAATTTGTTGGGGTGACTGTTTAATATGATTATATAAGTTTCAAGTGTACAGTTCTATAATACGTCATCTTTATATTACGTTGTATGATCACTAAAGTCAGGTCTCCTATCACCACGTATTTGACCCCCTTTACCCTCTTCTCCCTCCTCCTAACCCCTTCCCTTGTGGTAATCACCATACTATTGTCTGTGTTAATGAGTTTTCTTGTTTGTTGCCTTTGTTTTATATCCCACATATGAGTGAAATCATATTCTTGTTTTTTTCCGTGTGATTTATTTTGTTTAGCATGATAGTCTCAAGATCCATCCTTGTCACCAATGGCACTATTTCATCTTTTCTTCTTTTAAAGATTTTATTGGGGAATTGGAGGAGGGGAACAGCATTGGGAAATCGGGGAGGGGGAACAGACAAGTTGCTGTCCTTTTGTTCTTCAGTCTAGTTGTGGAGGACGTCGCTTCACTGGCCCGTGTTGGTGGTATCTTTGCGCTCTTCCCAGGTGAGGCAGATTGGTTGCCGGCCACTGGACGGCCACTCACGGCGGCTCTTGGTAGCTGACGCTGGCTGCCGGCCGCTCACGGTAGCTTTACGGCAGGTCTCTGCAGCCTCACTGCAGCCTACGCCGTCGCCGGTGACTCAGGGCAGCCCAGCTCCAGGTCAAGCTGTTGTTCCCATCTTAGCTGTAGAGGGGGCATCATAACGCCCTCATGTGGGATCTGAACCGGTGCCCTGCTGCTCAGAGCCGGCGTACCAAGCCAGATCTTAACCAATGCGCCACTCGGCTGGCTCTCATTGGCCGAGTAATATTCCATTGTATAAATGTACCACATCTTCTTTATCCAAAAATCCATTGGTGGTGTCCTATATCTGATTTAAAGCAATTCCAGTCAACGTGTTCAGTCTCTAGATGACTCCTTTATTCAATGAACTCATCCTTGTTAAATATTTAGAAATTTTGGTGATTTCTTTGGAGGTAATGCTAGGACCTGGATTACTAATGTTATGTGCAGTGTGGGGACCCTGTTTTCTAGAGTATTCATCTTTATTGTGCTGAGCCATCTTGAAGTAGGATTTATTATATTTACTTATTTAAAAAAATATTTTATTGGGGAATTTGGGGAGGGGAACAGTGCTGGGGAATCGGGGAAGGGAACAGACAAGTTGCTGTCCTTTTGTTCTTCAGTCTAGTTGTGGAGGACGTTGCTTCACTGGCCCAAGTTGGCACCATCATTGCACTCTTCCCGGGCGAGGCACATCAGCCGCCGGCTTTTGGACGGCCGCTCACTGCGGCTGCTGGCCGCTCACGCTGGCTGCTGACTACACACGGTAGCCCATGGCAACCCACTGCAGCAGGGCCTGCAGCCTATGCTGTTGCTGGTGACCCACAGCAGCCCAGCTCCAGGTTGAGCTGTTGTTCAGCATCTTAGCTATAGAGGGCAGTGTCATTGGCCCTCATGTGGGATCCCAACCAAGGGCCCTGCTGCTCAGAGCTGGTGCTCCCAAGCGAGCTCTTAACCAGCTGAGCCACTTGGCGGTCCCCTACTATATTTATTGTAAGTAAAAATCTGGACTCTGAAATGTTTGGATGGATTGTTCTCAGTAACATACCTTTGGATACTGGTAACATAGCCAAGAATTACTTGAGAAATGGAGACTGGTTGTATTTGGTTGTCCTGTCCTGTGTGTTCTTTTTTTAAAGATTTTTATTAAAATATAGCTCACATACAATATTACGTATATTAGTTTCAGGTGTACACCATAGTTACTCAACATTTATATACCTAAAGAAGTGATCACCATAAGTCCAACAACCATCTGACATTGTACAATGCTATCACAATGTTACTGACTATATTCCCCATGCTGTACATTACATCCCCGTGACTTACTTGTTTTATACCTGGAAATTGGAACCTTTTATTCCCCTTGTCCTGTCCAGTTCTTACTAGGAAGAAAATTAAGCTGATGGCAGCAGTAGAGGTGATGTGATCTCCCTTCATCTCTTTTAATTGATTTTCTTCGTTTGTTGTTAAAAGATCTTGTTAAGAAGTTGCTCATATGACAATATATTTGTGGATATATCAAGCTGTGATAAGAATTATTTTGTACAGATGGACTCTAAAAGTTTTTAATTATGTGAAACAACTCAACTTTAGATAGCCATTTTTAGTTTCCTACCTTAAAAATAGTTCATCTTTGCTTTTGTTGAAATTAGTTGTATCTTAAAAAAAAAAAAAGAAAAAAAGAAATTAGTTGTATCTTTTTGTGTATATGGCATGCCAGCTTTTAAGGCATGAAATTGTTAATCTCTTTAAAAATTAATAAGTTATAAATATGTAAATATTGATAAAATCCAACATTTTTGATATTTATTAGCTTATGTCTTAAGTTTTCTATGACCTTGTTTGTGTTCCATGTAGATTCATCCATACGTTTAACAGAGACATTTAATATAAAGCCACAAGATTTGCACAAATGCATTGCCAGGTGCCATGTAGCACGTAACAGATTTTTACGTATTTTACAAAGAGAAGATATTGTTTCCCGAAAATATCAGGAAAACGCACAGTAAGTAATATTTTGATAGTTAGAAAATGAACAAATGTCATCAATATACCTTCAGTGGCAATAATTCATGCCTACCTCATACTGTTATCTTTCCATTTTAAAGCCAGATAACTTTTTTTTTTATTTAAGATTTTTATTGGGGAACTAGGGGATGGGAACAGCACTGGGGAATTGGGAGAAGGGGAACAGACAAGTTGCTATCCTTTTGTTCTTCAGTCTAGTTGTGGAGGACGTTGCTTCACTGGCCCAAGTTGGTACCATCATTGCGCTCTTCCCNACAGACAAGTTGCTATCCTTTTGTTCTTCAGTCTAGTTGTGGAGGACGTTGCTTCACTGGCCCAAGTTGGTACCATCATTGCGCTCTTCCCAGGCGAGGCAGATGAGTTGCTGGCTTCTGGACGGCCGCTCACTGCGGCTGCTGGCCGCTCACGCTGGCTGCTGGCTACATACGGTAGCCATGGCAACCCACTGCAGCAGGGGCTGCAGACTCATGGTAGCCCAGCTCCAGGTTGAGCTGTTGTTCAGCATCTTAGCTGTAGAGGGCAGCGTCACTGGCCCTCATGTGGGATCTGAACCGGGGTCCTCTGGCGTCCCAAGCCAGCTCTTAACCAACCTGCCACTCGGCCGGCCCCCAGATAGCTTTTGAATAAAATATTTTAAACTTTAGGTATATTGTAAATGAAAGTTTAGAGAAAGGAAAAGATCAGTTCAAACATTTAATTTTTTTAGGAGATTTTTCTTTTTATAACAGGAAATATATTTTAAAGCTGTATAGTGTTCATTCTGTTTTATATCTTTTTTTCCTCAATATTTTATTCTGTAAATTTTTCCATACTGTCATAGGGTATTACTTTTAATGTCTACTTGATAGTCTGTTGAATATTAAGTAGATAGATATTCCCTCAGTAGGTATTCCATAGTTTCTTTAACCATTTCATACTGTTTTATATTTAGGTTCATCTATTCAGCAATTTTTTTTTTTTTTAAAGATTTTACTGGTGAATTGGGGAAGGGGAACATGTTGGGGAATTGGGGAAGGGGAAAGCCAATTTGTAGTCCTTCAATTTTAGTTGTGGAGAGTGCAGCTAGCTCAAGTACAGCCTCCCTCTGGCCACCCATCGGCAGCTCGCAGCCGCTAAGCTCAAGTTGCCGTGTTCAACATCTTAGTTGTGGGTGGGTGTAGCCCACCATCCCATGCAGGAGTCAAACCTGAAACCTTGTTGTTAGGTGCATGTGCTATAACCAGCTGATCCATCCTGCCACCTGTCTGCAGCTCAGCAGCAGCTCAGCTCAGGCGCAGCTCACTGGCCCATGTGGGAATCAAACCAGTGACCCTATTGCTCAGAGCTCATGATCTTAACCAACAGCCACTTGGCCGGCCCCAGCAATTTTTTTTTTTAGTTATTTCTATGTGCAAGATACTGTTTAGGTACTGGTCCTACAGCATTAAACAAGACAGGCAAGGTTCTTAAGAAATAAATTGTATTTAATTTTTTTACAATTACTAACAACTACAGTAGATGACTTTTAAGTGCTGTGTTATCTATTAAAAAAGCTACAGAATCCTTTGAAATTGCCTCAAAACTGCAATGTTGCTTAGCTATCATAGATAACATTTAAATTTACCCCCTAGGGATGTGAGACAAGGATAAGAAGCAGAGTAGCCTTACTAACCTCCATCATTTTTACTCGAATTCAGAGAGTATATGAGCCAAGAAGTCCTGGTCCACCTTGATAGCAGCCTGTGTGTTAGATCACTTCTGTAACTCCAAAAGGGAGTGTAGAGTCCTTTATCTGGCTGCTGGGTATATTTGGAAGAGGAGTCCTCAGAGGCCTTGAGCAAATATATGAAAGGGAGAAAATATTAAAATGCCTCTTCCTTTTATTTTATTTTTTTTTATTTTTTATTTTTTTTTCAGCTGAGCCATCCTGCTACCTGTTGGCAGCTCAGCGGCTGCTCAGCTCGGGCTGGACTCGAACCGCTGTTGCTCAGAGCTCAAAC